ATTGCAATTTGATTTGATTCAAGAGCACAGAGTCATGTATCTCGGTACCAAGAAGATGATCGAATTTCTACCGTCAAGAATCACACATTATACTCCTAATAATCTCATTCTGCATTGTAAATCGGTTGAATACAAATAGTGTAGACATGACGTGGATCGATGATTATGTGGAGGGGGGGGGGGGACATCCGTGGGGCAAATCTGATCCGAAAAAATTGAGGCGTATTCATCTTTTACATGTTCTTATGGTATGCCACATTGGGTTTCAAGGGGGTACTTATGGCGGTTGTTGAAAGGCATATGGCAGGACTGAAATCCGCCATCATTGATATTATGAGTAATAAGACGAATGTTCATTGACAATGTTTATGAATTGACAGCATGGACAAAGCTCAATGATAACAGTTTTAATTCACCGCTGAAAGCTGATAAATCTTGAATCTACAACAAATAATATCAATATGATGGTGAATACGAAAGCCAACAGGCGTTTAAACCAAAGACATTTAAACATGATACAAATATTAAAATTGGAATTCAATGCCGTTTTACAATTATGATCGAGTTTGGTCCTTAAATCTTAAATTAACCAATCTGTCATCCCATTATCAATTGTCTCAAGTTCGTGTTTGATATGTTGTACAATAGTACCATCACTATTGTGTTGACTCATATATTTTTCTTCTTCCGTTGCCATTGTCTCTCACAAAGATCATGACCTTGTGCACTTTATCATTCAATCAATTTGAATGCAATTGCTGACCGGATCTATCTCTCACCAATGTATTGGTGATCGTGTCAACAGGTACCCAAACAAGCTAAAACGGTTGTCATGGTAACGGCGAATCATGGCGTCGTTATTGGAATCATATTTTATCCGAGACCTTTCTGATTTTCCACCTTGGAGGACAAACGTAACCAACACCTGTAGACGACCATCACTTCATTATTGAAATTGAATCATGTGCAATAATGCATGGATGCATTTCACTTGTATAGATTGGGATTGATGCACAATGGGTTCAATATGTCAAACGTGTATAAACATGGTTAAAGGGGTCCTTTACAATTTTCTACAAAATTGCAACCCTTACATGTCTCATGTCGAGAGGGGCCATTCCGAAACTTCCCGGAAATGCGAAAACATAAACAATGCAAATAAGGTTATGACAATAATTGTACTTTTCGGTGATTATTTTCTACTGGCCCAAATTTTTTATTGAAAAGCCAACAATAAAATGAGGGTTTCACGCGTCCAGATGTATTTGAGTTCTAACATTTCAAGGGGTAGTACCATTTGATTCGGGGCTGCGCCCCTCCGCAAAAAGTGTTATTGGAGTCACCTCTTGCGCATAGTTTTAACCTCTCAAGAAAGTGTATATTTGTATACTATTATTGGGTGTGAAATATCACCTTTTGTGCGGATACATGGGTATGCAAGATATTCAAAGATTTGCCACTTTCTGTCAGAAAATGATCATGACGTGAACATGATTAGAGTTATCTGGAAGCAATTACCGAAAGCTAGCCGCTTTTAAAAACTGTAACCACAACAACATGCTCGCATAAAATAAGGATCGCACGGAACTTGAGTTCGAATTGGGTTTCATCCGGGCAGGCTCATGACATTCTTTATTTTCTTCATGGTCCATATCCGGAACCCCATAGAAGGACGGATATATATTTTGATGTTGATTTTATACATTCTAGCTCAACACAAATTATTTATTTTTGGCGATTGATAAGCTTAAATGTTGTATTGTCCATGTGACACTTTGTTAACCTGCTTCAACTAATTTCGAAAATTCAACTCAGGGCAATTCAATACCCTATTGTATGTCTCATAGAAATTATGTTCGAATTACGTAATACGTAATCGATTGCAAAAATGGGTGAAAATAAGTGATTTCATCGTGTGTACAGAGGATTAAACATAATTTCATTTCTATTTGAATAAAAAATTTTGTCATCTATTTCCATTTTAATTGTCATAATTCCGGTGACAAATTAATTTGTGTCTAATGTTCTTTCATAAAAAGATACAAGAATATGTAATATAAGGTGCTTCCAACGAAAGAATTAATTTGCAACCAGACATTCATGTCCTTTTTTCCATTTTTTCGTAGCTGGAAAAAAATGATGATAATCTAGAGAGAATTTCCTCCTAATGATTATCTTTGCCTTTTCCACTGATGCGATATTTTCTCGTGGAAAATAGGAGATTAATTCCGCTCAAGAGCAATGTGTTTAGAGGTAGCACCAATTATATCCAAACTATTCTAATTGATTACTGATTTCCGATCGAGGCGACTATAGACGTGGGGTTAATTTTAGCCCCGACCTTAGAGACGAAGTACATTTTTAGCATTTATTAAGAGTGAACTTTAGGACTTGGGGAATATGGCCTTTATTGATAATGAACCAGTGCGTCATTGGGGAGATGGTATCGTGTTCTGTTTGGATTAAAGAGGCTACAGGCTCAAGATATCAATAAACAGTCCAAAGAAGGGAGATGTTTTCCCTTAACTGGAGAGAGAAATAGGAGATTGGTGACACGTTAAGCAATGCGTACTTTCATAGATTAAATGGTGTCCGGTTTATTTATGCTATATGCATAAGGAGGATAATAGGGAGTGGTGAAAAATTGAAATAAAAACAGCGATGTTTAAACAGACAGGCAGGCAGATGACGATTCGTTGAGTAAAACAGAAAACCCCAAAGGACGGATAGATAGAAGGGAAAAAAAGAGCGAGAAATGTGTGTGTGGGTGTGTATATGGGAATGAGTGTGGGATTTAATATTTTAGGTAATACACAATTATAAAAACATATGCATTGTCAAATTAAAATCGGTTGCTTACTGATCAGAGGTGATCAAAATAACTTTTTGAGTTTTTAGGGAAAAAATTATGAAGAGAAAAAGTGTGTATCATGTGAGCAATGATGAATGTTAAACTCTTTATGAAGACACAACATATAACGTGGATGAAAACTGTAATTTGATTATTATTGTTTCAGAACAGCGGGAGAAGACTTTTGTTATTGTGTGACTATGATGCGTCAAAATTCAGACTGAAAATATCACCATTTTATTCACAAATGCTAAAGCTTTGGCGGGATAGGGGAAATTTATAAACTCTGAAATTGAAGTGAATCCAGTCATATTTGATAATATTATGTATATGTAAACAGTTGATTTGGTAAAGGCATATGCCATGTAAACCATATTTTGTATAAATTTATAAACTCTGAAATTGAAGTGAATCCAGTCATATTTGATAATATTATGTATATTTTAACGGTTGATTTGGTAAAGGCATATGCCATGTAAACCATATTTTGTATAATAAGTCGAGTGAAGCCTGTCGCTCATTTTCAGAGTATTTCGACTAATGCGAATCAATTGCTTCAGATAAACGGTATTGCTTTACTATCTACTTAAAAGAATGTAACTCCACCTATCAACATGTTTGTTTTTTTTAGATTTTGATATGATCTTGAATATTTCCAGGTAGAAACAAAAATGTTCTGATAATAATAATAATAATAGTGGGTTCTTGTATAGCGCTCATGTCAGTCAGTTTGACCCTCCTGGCGCTCCCGATTATTACCCTGGCTTTAGCACGGCTGCCATACGGCGCTCTAGCATTTCAAGGAATAAATTCTTACCAGGTACCCATTTACTTCACCTTGGAGGTGTGGCAAATGTAGATCAATGTCTTGCCAAAGGACATTAGTGCGGCGGCGGGACTCGAACCACGGACCTTGTGATCGACAGTCCGGCGACGTATCCACTCGACCACAACACTTCTAATAAAAATAAGGACAAATTGTGATTGTTTTGTCACGTGAAGCGTACAAAATACTAGAAAGGGATAGATATAGCAAATTTGACTTTACAACAATTTTTATTTTGTCGGATCAAGGAGCACAACAAATATTAAGAAAGACAGAGAGTTTCAGTTAATGTTATTACATGGAGTCATATACGCAAAAGAACGTCTAATGAACTTGGGTTTTTATTAAGCACGACATCTGCTCATTTTACCTAAAAACAGAGACCAATTTACACTTAATTTTAAATTGTATAAAGGTCAAACAGTTATGGCAATTTTCATTTTCTATTGAACACTTCGATTTTATAGTTGAATTACGGGATATGGATTTGCAAGATATATTTTAGGGTCGTCGGTTAACTCGAACAGAAATAATGGTGCGAACACGTTCATAATTTCTTTGAAATATGCATCGATTAAATCAAGGGCAAAGGGCCATTAACCTTTCAGTGCTAAAGATACAGAATATTATTATGAATTTTATAGAGGATAAGTAGAACTTAACAATAAAGGTAGGCAGGTTGTCTTTGAATTTTAAAAAAATGGAAAGAATTAGAAGTGAATATAAATGTTAGCAGGTAACATTGCTGTGTGTTTGGTGTTTTTGTATGCGTGTGTGTGTCGGGGGTTGTGGGGTGCGTGGGCATAGTTTTCGTGCGTGCGCGTGTACACGTGTGTGAGTGTGCATTTGTTCAAGTGACAAATGAGTATGAGTTACTTACAGATGGTGGTGGGTTTTGTTTAGGGTTGGGTAGTATTGGAAGTGGGGGGGGGGGGGGGGTATATTTTTTGTCAATATTTTTTTGTTATACAAACTTAATTCATTAAAGAAGATACAAATGATCGTATAAATCAAAAACACATGAAGTTAAATAAATTATATCATTATGATGAAGAAAAAAATTGTTAAAATAATTATTTGTATTGTTTAGATTCTTTAATTTGTTAATATAAAACAAATACGGAAACAAGATGTGTCTGCGTTTCGATGGTTGGCAGAGAAGGTGCAAGAAAAAGAGAGAGGAAGAGGGGGAGGGAGAACAAAAGAGGGAGGTGGAAGCCCGGAAAACATAATGCGGGAGGGGAGAAAGAGATAGAGAAAGAGATGTTGATTACACTGCCGCATTTGACACTATCAACCACGACCTGTTACTCCATCGCTTAGAGAACGACTTCTCCATCACCGGCACCGTACTTCAATGGATTCGCTCCTATCTCATGCACCGAACTCAGAAGGTGATCATCAATGACACCAACTCGGAATCATTTCCCCTCATCTGCGGCGTTCCTCAGGGTTCCGTGGTCGGCCCCCTCCTGTTTATTCTTTACACCAGCCCTCTCTCAAATGTTATTAACCTTCATCAGAATATTCAACACACTATGTATGCAGACGACACCCAGATTTATGTAACTCTTCACCCAAACAGCAGGACAGTAGCCGCGAACAAACTCACCAGTTGCCTCAATGAAATCAAAACCTGGTCTTTTCAAAACTGTCTCTGCCTTAATGATTCAAAATCTGAAATGATTCATATTACTTCTAAATTTCGGAACTCAGACCCCTTTCCTGATCTTGTTATGAGTGATGGCTCTCTCAGTTGTTGTGCTTCTGTGCGTGACCTTGGTTTAAATATTGACAGCAATCTTACTTTCAAACAACACATTAGTAGTATTTGTAAGTCTGCTTCCTTTGGTATATATAAGATCAGTAGAATCAGGAGGCTACTTGACCGACCCACAACTTCAAAATTAGTCCATGCTTTTGTCTCGACCCATATCGATTACTGTAATTCTTCTCTTTCTGGCCTCCCTCAGTCACATCTAGTCCCACTTCAAAGGGTACAGAATAGCGCTGCTCGGCTTGTGACTCTCTCGCGTAAATCAGAGCACATAACTCCAATATTGAACTCACTACATTGGCTTAAAATTCACCACCGCATATCCTTCAAAATTCTTCTCCTGTGCTACAAAGCTATCAATGGCTTAGCCCCCTCTTACCTTTCCGATCTCATATCCTTACGTTCCCGTACGTCGTCACGAACACTTCGTTCATCTTCCACATTACTGTTAACACCTGGACCCCGCACTAACACCCGGTATGGTGACCGCGCCTTTTCAGTTATTGCCCCCGCTCTCTGGAACAAACTGCCCGCCTTTATTCACTGCGCCCCCTCTGTATCTCAATTCAAATCTCTACTCAAAACCTATCTTTTCAAATTGTAAATTGCAGTTGTGCGTCGGTCAATGGAGGTGCGCACCATATTTGTCTTTATTTAGTTGATTGCCACTGTTTTTCTTACCTTATCTATGTTACTTTTGTATTTTTGCTTTTTCTTCTAATTTAATTCTACGGGTTATAGTCTTCTCTTAATCAGAACACTGTGCGCTTAGAAACATCAGTATTAAGCGCCTAATAAATGTTATGTATTATTATTATTATTATGTGCGTGTGGGTGTGTGTACGCGGGTATATGTGCGAATGAGGGTGTGTGTGTGTGTGTATTTGGATGGTTGAGAGAGATGAGGAACAAGAGAGAGAGAGAAAGAAATTTAAAAAAAATAGAAGGAAAGAAAGAGGGGAGAGCGATAGAGTGAGATAGAACAAAGCGGAGCAAATATTCGATATTCCAGGAATACTGGTTTATAAATTTAAATACAATTATTTTGAAGGTTATATTAGCGGCAAGACGTACGCGACTATATGACATCACCATGATCACGGGGCATCAAATTTAATCGAAAACCACATCATCATCAATCCAGAAAGGGCCATGCCTCGGATATAGAATGGAGCGATGACTATGTGAGTTATCTTTGTCATGTAAAAAAAAAAGGCACGGAAAAGAAAATGTATTTGTCATAGAGACGAAGCCAGATGTAAAATGAGAAGAGGAAATACATGAAATATGTCAGCGGCGTGTACATTAAGATCGAACATGACATTGACTAGAAGCTACTTTTCACATGATGGAAAGTTCAGGGATCAGAGGGGTTCTCATGTCTAATGTTAAACTAAAACTACGAAATAACAATGTATGTACTAACGTGAAAATATGTTTCTACATGACAAACTCGTCTTTGTTGATACAGTCAAACCTATCCCAGTGGCCTCCTTTTATGAAGGCCAACTGTCTATAGTGACCATGCATTTTGTGTTGTACAAGCTCAGTGGCCACTTTCTCGGTCCATTTAGTGGCCTTCATACACAGGTTTGACTATATCTTTTTTGGGTAGATGATACCATGTAAGAGTCAAAATAGCGAAACCCAAACTAAATTGAAGTTTGGGGTGCGTCCCCCCCCCCCCCCCCCCCCCTGCCCCACAGGGCTACGCTTATGCGTTGCGGCTAAGAATAGTCAACCGCCAAAGTGCATGTCGACGGTAATGAAGGGAAGAATGTTTGATAAATAAGCCACTGACCATAGCAATCCAATATGATAGCTCGGACAGACAACGGGCATTCCACGTCACTTGCGGTTGTACTCACAATTCCATCCTCCTATTACTATGGCATTATTTTGTTCCTGTTATCACAAAATAGGAAAAGGAATATTAAAGACATGTCATTTAGAATTTTGAAAGAATATTCATCATAATTATAATGATAACTAGAAAGCCTGAAGAAGGCAACAATCACATAAAGGAGAAATTCTCATTTGAAAGCTGATGTGTTGAAAGGCATAGAAAGTGATAAAAATTCATAAAACAGTTATATAAATTGGGGACTCCTTTAAAAAGAATATATACAAACAAAGAAATAAACAAAGATGGAAATTATATAAATAGTTGGGGGAGATGAATTAAGAAAAATAGAAAAGAGAAGATTATAGACAGGTAAAGAGAGAGGATAACTTTAAGATAGAGTTTGGGAGAGAAGAAATTAAAATAATATGATATAAAAAGAGGAAAGGGAGAAAAAAGAGAGGAGCAATAAAGAAAGAGAATGGGAGAAATCAAGAGCAAGGGAGAAGGATTGAGAGAGAGGGAAAGAGATATAGAAAGAGAGAGATAAAGAATGAAAGAGGAAGATGAAGAGAGAGAGAGAAAGAGAGAGAGAGGGGGAGAGAGAGAGAGAGAGAGAGCGAAGGAAAAAGAAAGAAAGAGGGAGATGAAGAGAGAGAGAGAGAGAGAGAGAGAGAGAGATGGAGAGAGAGAGAGAAGGGAGGCAAAATGGGGAAAAAAGCTAGGGACGCGGAGAGCAGACATGAATGTCAAGAGTTGTCTTTATTGACAATATGAACATGATGAATGCATTGCTCTTTGCATAAACTCAATATGAGTCGGAAATATTAATTCACCTTTTTTACAAAGCGCACGTTTTGCTACCTGCTACCAACAAGCAAATCTTAATAATGAAACTATTCCGGTCTACAGATTAAATACAGATACCAAGATACTGCAAGTTGTTATTGGTATTGCAGAAACCGAGGAATTACATCAATTACCTATTGATGTTTCTTGTTCTGTCACGAAGGGCATTGGCCCGTTATGAGAGTACCAAGAGGGCAAGGACAATTTCTTTTCGTGTTGTCGCATTCCCTCTCACATTCTATATGTTTCAACTCTCCCCCTCTTGCAGTTACTTTTATAAAAAAATTAAACCCAAGTAAATTAATTTGAAAGAAAAATACGTGCAAGGTATCAAAGGGTTCAGGTAAAGTTAATGTTGAATGTAATATATTAGCAATGTTTCCTTGAGGTCAATGGTCTCGAGACATGTCGGTATTCAAACACAGAATCGATGCGGCAAGAGTTAACTCAAATTCATATCATTGTTGCCTAGAAATTCTATGACCGTCAATATTTTTTTTTTCTCTAAGCTGTTTACTGCAAAGTAAAAATACCACACTCACTCACGCATAGAAACCCATCAAACTTATATTCATTTAACTTGCTTTACTTTCTTTTAATTTCTTTTTTTTAATTAGGACAACTGTAACCATTTTTTTTTTAAATTAGGACAACTGTAACCATTTTTTTTTAAATTAGGACAACTGTAACCATTTTTTTTTTAATTAGGACGACTGCCACCATTTGTTTATATTTTAATTAGGGCAACTGTCACCACCTCCCCTCACCTCCTTCACAAAACTCTGGATTTGCCAAGTATTCTTTGTTTGTGTTGTGAATATTCAGCACGGATGTTATGTCCATGTTTGTTTGTTGTTGTTTTTTTTTCTTTCAATTTGTATTAGGCTTTGTCAATTCCTTCGAATATGGAAATCATCTAGGGACAAATCATAAAAAATTGTTAGAGTGTCTATTTTTAGAATATTTTCCGTATTATATTGATGATCTGTTGGTATTAAAGAAACTTTTCTTGAATACAAACCACTTCTCAAAGAAATGACAATTCCATTACGAACATGTACGTCACATTTTAAAATAAATTACACTTGATTGAATGTAAAATTATCTCTGTTATCAATCCACCAAGAAATAATTTCTAGAATAGAGTGAAGTGTCTTCTGTGTTATACATCTTAAAGGTAATACAAAGTTTTGGTATGGGTTCACGAATTTGGTTCAAATGAACATATTGGAAGCATATGCGATCCTAAACAATTCAATGATCGTTGTCGCCGTTGAAATCGAGTCTAAAGTTATGAAATTGTAAATAATACACTCTTTATGTTGTATAGCTCCCCCTCAACGTCAAGATATTAATTAACCTATAAAACAATATTCCTTGACTAAAATTGACCGATTAGCTATTCCCGTTTGGAAATTATATATCACAACTACATACTCTGAGATTTTCATGGTCGCAGCTACCAATGTAGGCGCTATTTGAAATTTATCAAAATTTACCGGGAGCACCGGTAAATTTTTATGTTCTATTTTTCTCGAATTCAGAAGTGTTTTAGGGTAAACATTTTCTAGTGCTTGATCCACGGGGGCATCCTAACATCAAAATTATAAGGAATCACTATCCACCAAATTTTCAAAATTTCCCAAAACTTTGTATTACCTTTAACTGTATTTTACAGTGACTTCGCTGCATTTGTTGACAAGTGAACTAGCTAAGTTGTGTTGCTACAACAAGATATTGATGTATTTCAAATGCGTCATCATTTCGTCAAATATTGGGAAAATTTAATTAAGCCATGCAGCAATTCACGAAAAAAGGTTAATTCGAACAAAAACCTAATGTACCTTGTTGATATTAATATCCCGTGTTAGGAGCAATTTGTTCATAGTTAAAGTAACAGGAATTCCTTTTGGTTCAATAGATCATTATTGATTTCAACCAAATGA